GACCCTGAAATGGGCAGCATCGCTGTTAACTCAGGATGAAAGCTACAAAACAGCTAAGCTAGAGGCTTTTTGACACTGTCCTCAGCAGTGCTTTGAGCTAAATGCTAAGGTCAGTATGCTAAAATATTCACTACAACAATGTTAACTAGGCTGAGGATATATGTTAACCATGTTCAACAGTATGCTAACATTTGCTAATAAGCACTTTACACAAAGTACAGTTGATACAGATGGGAATGTCATTAATGTTGCAGATATTTGGTCTAAATTAAAGTATTTGACACATTTTTACTTGATGGTGGTGTTGGACCAAAAGTAAGGGGGTCACCAAAATGTTACACTACACCAAATTACACCAAACTTCATGGAAATCCATCCAGTTGTTGGATTAGACAGTTTAAACAAACACGTAAACCATCTGGCGCAGAAGGTTAGGTGACAGAGGAAAGATCAGGGGATCACCAAAGGATTTATTCTATAGGCCCTATGGATATTTGTACCAAAATATCATGCCAATCCATCCAATAGACTTTTTAGTAAAACCCCAACATTTCTACCTCATGGTGGTGCTACAGAAAAAATTTAATGTAAATCCTTTTAATAGCTACCAACATTGCCATCCATAGAGCCTCACTGCTAGTGTGGTGACAGAGGAAATCAGCAGCAGATGCAAGATCTTCAGAAAATAGGACTTTTATTGAATGTAATAAAAGTCTGAATAAATCCTGCAGAAACAAAACAGCACACAGGAAAATACAGCTTCTTTTATAAAATTTGACTATGTGAGCATCATGCACAAACAATGTAGTCAACAACTATCCACAATAACATCCCATGACCATATCTAGACTTTTGCCAAACTGGTCCTTGGCCTAGGACCAGTTCTTAAGCAATCTCCCTATGGGAACAAACTAGGCACCTAGTTACCCCAGAGTTAAAGCCTTACACAACCAAATTGATTCTTAGGTTACAACAGGTTATATGGCTATTGTGTGAAAATATACCACATAATTTCCCCCTTTGAGGCTAGAAGTCCCCCACTGTATGAGTCTGGTACCACCAAAACAATGGCTAAGAATTGACCCTCCAATAGACTGCTTAAGTTTAACTATTCAGGGAGAACTTCGGGTAGAAAATAAAGTCTTACCACTGTGCTCGCATTGCTTTTGGATTGGAAAGAGAACAGGCTTGAGTCTGAGGTTTAAGAGCACAGATGAGTCAAAGCCAAATCTGGTGGACAGCTGGCTTGGAGTCAAAAAGAAGTCAGGGCCAAAGAGGAGTCGTAGCCATATCAGAGCAGAGCCGGTGTTGGCACCAATCTGGCCGAAGAGCCACGGAGGAGATGGAGCTGAGATTGAGCCAGTGCCAGAGAAAAATTTGAGCAAAGCTGGAGCTGATGCCCATTCTGGAGATGAGTAGGAGTTGATGTCAGAGAGGGAGTCTCGCTTTTACTGAGGAAGCAGGAGCTGATGACGAAGAGGACGATGAGTGGAGTCTGAGTTGCGTCAGAGTGGAACCAACCACATAATTGTTGGAGAAGAGCCAGCATAAAGCTGCTGGAGTCTCTACTGAAGTCAGAGACAGAACAGGAGTGGGGGAGGAACTGAGATGAAGAGGTGTAAGAGACTGGGGAGTCATGAAAGTTTTCTTTCTTTCTTTCTCCATTTCATTTCTTTTCTGATCTTAATGATGTGTTGAATTTAGAAGCTGAGAACAGTGTGAAGCTGACGAAGAAAAATTGTACTGTCAATGAATATGTTGAGCTTGGCAGGTGAAGAGGCCTGATTTGATGTGATGAAAGGGAGTCTGTCACTCTGGCTGGGGACAGAACATTTTGCTCTGGACACTTGACAGACTGGCTGCTGGTAGTCACAGAAAAGAACATTTTCTTTTTTCTTTTCATCTTTTTTTTCCCTCCAAATATTGTCATCTGCAGTTCTTCTTCTGACCTTCAACCATACAACTATTTCCATACTATAAAAGTGAGTTTCAGAGGTGCTAGTAGGAGACTTTTTATACTTTTCAAGAGAGCCAAGCGAGCTGTTTCCACTTTTCCAGTCTTTATGCTAAGCTCAGCTAGCCATCTTTTGGCTGTACCCTGGCTGTTGCATTTAGCATATAATGTTATTCTTGGTAAGGAAAGCGAATAAGTGTATTTTCCAGAGACGCAAGACATGCCATATGATGAACAAACGCATCACCTAACCTGACAAAACCATGTAATATTTCACTCTAAAGTATTTGACACATCCATTTTACACCACAGCCTTGAACCGACCACTTACAGACTCTGCCTCCCTTTCTTTCACCCACCATCGTCTCTTTTGTTTCATTTTATTGTGACAGTGCGTGTTACAAGTGCCGAAGTGGAGGCGCAAATGGAATGGAACCAGTTTGTAGCTTGCGATGATGAGATGGCCATGACTGTGTGATGGGTCAGATTGGAAATTTAGCCAGGCCATCAAGGAAGGTAATTGTTTTCCAGGGATGGCAAGGGTTACATGGGAAAGCTGAAAGGAAGAAATAGGGAATGAGAATGGAGACAGGAGAGGGAGGGTATGAGTAGGTAAGCAACATAAAGAGCCATTCTCTTCTCCTCCTCCTCTTTTTCTTCTGTCATTTGTATCACTCTGTCCCTCCTCCCTCTCTCCTCCCGTTCCTTGTCCTTATCAGATAAGCGAGGACGCCTTCATTCTAAAGGTGCTACTAGACATCTCCAATAACTATGTGTGTGTTCATGTGTCTGCCTGTGTGTGTGTGTGTGTGTGTGTGTGTGTGTGTTTGCATGACAGTTATGGGAGCTTGTCATCGTGCTCCTCTAGATCAATGGAGCACAGTTGCCTAGCAACCTGCTGATCGGGAGAAAGGAGGCGGGGGTGAGAGAGGGAGAGAGGCATAAGATTAGAAAAGAGAGAGATGGGGAGGTCTGGAGAGGGAAGGAAAGAAGGAAGAGAAGTGGGTGAGATCAGCGGTAAAGAATGCTGTGGTTGGATGACAGGAAATAAGACCTAAGACAGTAGAGCTTGTCGAATCTGTCTTTGTGGGTACTGTAAGAGTAGGGTGAGGAGGAGGGAGGTAGTAGGTGGATCGTGGGGTGTGAATGCATGAATTGGGCATATAAATGTGTGATTGTGTGTGAATGTGTGCAACAGTAGTTTGGGTCTGATGAGTTGATGTTGATACTATCACGCTGAAATAGAACATCAAAGCGCTACCATGGTGACGCCAGCAGCACACTCTCTCTCATTTAGCTGCTGATTTAATTATCTTTATCTTAAAGGGGAACAAAGTGGTTAAACGCACTGCATTGGGAGGGAGCGGCGGTAGAGATAAACATGAGGGAATGAGCGGGAGGAGGGGGGGGGGATGGAGAGGGAACTTGGAGGGAGATGAATTTGGACAGGAGGAAATGAGGAGAGGGGAGACGGGCGTAAAAAAGGAGAGGGGAGGAGAGCAAGGACGAGACGAATGGAATGAGAGCGAGCGCGAGAGAGAGAGATGGATGGAAAGAGAGTCTGATGATCAGGTGTTGGCTGGCCTCACGAGAGATGCACACATATGCTTCAGATCGTCTATGATATTTACACAGTCTCCCTCTATCTGCCAGTGATGGCAGGAGGAAGGAGGAGGAGATGAAGGGGTGTGAAGGGAGGATGGGGTGTCATTATAAACGATAAAAAAAAGGGGAGGGAGGGATGGAGAGACAGAGGAATAGCTGTACATCCCAGAGGTATACTCTGTGACTGAGTTAGAATAACATGTGGAGGCAGAGTGGCTGTTAAACTTTATGGAGGATTGAAAATGGACAATTAGCATCTCAACGATCTCACTGTCACCTGGAACATTCTCCCCCGTTGTCATAGTAACCCTCCTCTCCCTGCTCACATTACCTAATTCATGCTACCCCTCTCCACCGTGGCCGGAGTGCACATGCTTGCACCTTCACACACACACACACACACACACACACACACATACACAGGGCACTTTGTGTGTATAATCAATACAAATTATATTTTGTGTGTTTCTCGTCTGGGGGCGTTTTTCATTATGGGGAAATCTTACTGCTACAGCATACGATGATGACGATAGAGTACAGTTCGATGGAAGTCCCTTTCCTGTTTCAACATGACAAAGCCATCGCACACAAAGCAAGAAATGGTTTTCCAAGATTGGTGTAAACTGGCTTGCACGTCACCTTTGGGATGAACCAGAACGCCGACTGCAAGCTAGGCATTGCTCAACATCCGTTCTCAACCTCACCAATGCTCTTGTGGCTGATTGGGAGCAAATACCTGCAGCCAGGTGTCAAAATCTTGTGAAATGCCATCACAGACAAGTGGGGGCTTGTTATAACAGCAGATTAATGCCCATGGGTTTTGAATTACATGTTCAGCAACAGGCCTTTTCAATGTTGACTTTGCACAGGTGTTTACTAATCACATTAATGATGATTGCATTTAAAGGTGTGTACAATTTACGAGGATCTATTGGAAAAAAATTGAATATAATATACATAGGTTTTATTGTCATCCTTCAGAGAAACTAAAGCAGCTGAATTGAGTTCAGCCAATATTAATTTTATTCATGCTCACCTGTGCTTTTCCTGTTTTGAAATGTCAAACGAAAAAGCCTATCATACACATATGGGTACGATGTCTGGGTGGTTTAGTCATGATTTGTGTGTGTGTGTGTGTGTGTGTGTGTGTGTATGTGTATGCAGGTGTATCCATTTTATTTGATTTCTTTCTTGCCTCTGTGAGGTCCAGGTAGCTTCAGGCAGTAAGGCGCTGGAGTGCTCTTCGTGTGTGCTGTGCAGCTATCATTTGGAGGCCACAAAGTAAAAGGTGAAAGGTGAAAGGGCCCGATGTTTTCCTTGTTACTGGTTTCCCTGTTCGTTATCCGCTCTTAAAGTCTGCTCCACTGTACAAAACTGCTCTGACCCTTGACCCCTAACTGTAGGGCATGGAGTGCCACGGGCTGAGAATGGCTGCATCGCCATGACAACCAGTAGCAGCCCACAGGTCAAGATTTATGATCGTACTGATGCGCGTAGACACACACTAAGCTCTGCACATGTGCACACACAAATGTAAATCGGTGGTGCAGGGGCTAATGAACTATGGATCTTGAGATTTTTTTCCATTTGGCCAAACATGTAAGCAAGCCCGCTCTGACACACACACATACACACACCTCCTGAGCCTGTACATTGAGCTAGATTTCAATAAATCCTCATTGACCCCAGAGAAGTCTGCAAAATTAACCTTTTTTTTTCCTCTTGTACTTTCAGAAACCACAGACCATGGATCAAGTAAATGTGACAAGTGAGTGGACTTTCTTTTACCTTGCAGCCCGTATCAGACTCTCTGTTTTCATTCATTACAAGTCGAGCCTGACCTCTAACTCTCCGCTCTCTGTTTTGTTCTTTCGTGCGCATGTTTTGTGATGATCAGTGGCAGCGGTGGCGTCGGAGTTGCGCAGAAGGAGAAGGTGAAGGGCAAAGACGAGACGTACTGGAGGGAGATCAACGCCGCCATGGCCTTGACCAACTTGGCGCAGGGGAAGGACAGCGCCTCCGGGACCACCAGCTGCATCATTCAGAAGTCCTCCCATATAGCAGAGATCAAGACTGTTAAAGTGCCGCTGATGCAGAAATATTAGCGCTGACGTCATCCTACCATCTCTATGCAAACCAGCAAACATTCCTGTTTCAGCAAACTCGCTGGAGTCCAAATAAACTCCCCCTGGAGAGAATGAAAAGAGAACTGTTGTTGAAGGAGGGGGGGATGTTTGAGGCGAGGAAGCGTGGAACAAAAAGAGAACTCGCATTCTTATTGGTGTCTGAAAAAGTGCAAAAGAAGCCTTGACCATCATTTTCTTTGCTGGGTTGACGTGAGGCAGACAAGTGTTGATAATAGTTTCACTGCAGTATTTCCTAAAACAAGACACTTTTGTAATGTTAACTTATTTTTGATGAGTCCGATTTTTTTTTATTTCTTCTTTTTTATGCTACGGAAATTTGTATTTTGCCAAAGTGCCTTTGTTATTTAGACGAGTAACTCACCGACTGTCGTCAATGCAAAGTACACATACTGAGGTGCCTGTTGGGAATTTGTGGAGGAATATTTGACTAAGTTTCGAGTCACAGTCACAATTCAGGATTAGTTTTTTTCTGAATGAAAACTCCCCAGCCTGTGCCTTAAGGACTGAATGAGCTCACCATCCGAGGCATTGATTAACTCAAATAGCACACACAGATACACACTCTATTAGAACATACCCAGCAGTATGACATTGTTCTTGTTTTGACTGGAGTCTTAATTTTGACTGTAACTGATGCTGTTTTGTCTCAGCTTCTCCTTGCTGGCGGGCCAACAATAACTGTCGCGTACGTAGATAAAATGCCCGAACGTGAGCAGCAGATCGATAAGCGGCCAGCGATCTCCACCTTGTCCACATCTCGGCCTTGGATTACATTAACCAGCGAAGGATTCCTGTCTTATCTGGGCTTTTAGTTGCTGAAACGTGCACAAACGCTCAGCTGGACCCAGATGAAGTCACGTTCCCCCACGCAAAGACACAGATAGGTCAGATAGATCTTCAGGCGTACATTAAGGTTCAGTACAGTGTCTGTTCAAACAGAAGAATGCCATGACCTAAAAGGGATGTTTTCACTTTGCATTATCAGTGTTTTCTGTGGACAGTGTTGCCTTTTCACGTGTTTGTGTTCAGAACAGGAACAAGATAGTCCGGAGTGAACGAAAAAGAAAAGCCACCACCAGCTGCCCCCCCACCCCCCCCGTTTGATCCTCAGCCCTCTCAGCTGTTTAGCATTAC